AAAAAACATCTGGAAACAACTCTACTGGTTGGGCAAATGGTCCATCATTAATTACCTCGGGACTGTTTGGGACAAAAAGGCCTACCTGCTTCAGGTCTCCATTCTCCGCACCGCCCATCCGAGGCGAACGTCCGAAGTGGATTCGGGTACTGGGGACTGGACCTCGCCTTCGTAAGGTCCTTGTTCCAGGTTCAGTGGAGAAACATGGAAAAATGATGAGAAACCAATCCAACAAGTTCCAAGGCGAATTCTCTTTGCGTGGGTCTGCTCGAACTAAATGCTTGGGGGAAAAATGGCAACGTCCAATGGACAAAGTCTTATGAGGCGCAACTCAACTGGCTCTGGCACTTGCTTCTTGTGTGGCAATCTGAGATTCATTTCTATGGACCCCATGATCTACTAAAGCTGTCGTCTGTAGTGGATCATCTTCGCTGGCTTGCCTTGAGAAAATGAACAGTTTCATGGATGCATGATGATCCAAGTCTCGAACACCAAGGAAGGATCCACACGTCCCTTTTGGAAAAAGACAAGTTGGACGCTATCATGAATATGATAAATGATACCAGCATAGACCCCCAAACAGCTTAGTCAGCAAGAACTGTTGTTGTTGTTGTTGTTGTAGTGGGCGGCCGCAGCCCCCAGCCCCTGCCTCGGAAAGCAACATAAACAACACGACAACAGAAAGATCAGAGGAGGGCATGAGGAGGACAACAGAAGACAAAAGGGTGAGGGAAGGAAATCAACAAGAACACACCAACAGGACGAAAGAAGGACAAGCTGCCACTGCCACAGCACAAGGCCAAAAGGACAACAGGATAACATGAGGGGAGCACGTCGAGAGGAGAACAGGCGAAGAGGAAGAGAGAATAAGAGAAAGACAAGACGACGACGGGAGGAGTACGACCGGAGATAGGCTGGCAGCCGCGGCCAATGAACACCTGAAGACCGACAGCAAGAAGGCAATAGAAGAACAAGGACAGGACCCAAAAGATCGTGAACAATGAGAAAAGGAGAACATCCGGACAGGGCTCGCTGGCGCAGCCTAACACTGCAGCTGGCCAGCTTGCTTAGCACGCCTGGACACTGGAAGGGGGACAAGAAGAGGACAACAAGAGGAGGAAAAGAGAAAGGTCAACAGGAGGACAAGAAGAGGTCAAGATGATCAAAGGACAGGCCAGGCACCTGCAACAGCTCACCGATAACATTGGGGATGCTACAAATTGCATTGTGGCACTGTACTTGGGTTTGGGCTAATCCTTCTGGCGGTCGCACCAGCACAAGCCGCTGGAACAAATGCAGCGCCCAAGGATCGCATCGTAAGCTCGGCAATCTGGACTGCCTGACCACTGATTTGCTGTTGTTGCTGTGTGATATTCTGGTGGTCTGCCGCATTCTCCAACCCACAACGCACTCGGTAGTACTGTACGACGCTCCTCCTCCGTCTTCGCATACTGGTTGAGTGCCCGGTGCGCGGCTTCGCCACCATGCAGCGTCACCACGGACCCTGGTCCACATGGTCACAGATCAACACCCATTGCTTCACCGAGGTTGGGCTCTCAAATTGATGAGGCACTTCATTCAATCACATCTTCACCGCCTGCCAGGTCTACAATGCACCCTGTGTGAAGTCCATACTCACACAGGACTGGATGGACATTTGATGATCCTCAATGCTCGTGCGATGATCATACGGCTTCTCATCCATCATCGCTAGCACCGTTTCCTTTGCCCCTCCACTCAACTTGCTGGTTTCCCCTGTTGAGTCACACCACAGTAGACCCTAAACAGTTGACCGCCGAGAAGCACACTGACTACCTGGGAGACGAATGTCAAGAATGAGACGAATGGCACGGTGGACACACTGGCCGAGACTGGGAGACACACGAAAAGAGTGGCTACTAAGCAGTTGCCCAAGGGCGGGCGGGCGAGCCCAGAGGGAGAGACAAATGTAAAGAAATAAGGCGCTGCCCTGGAGACAAATGTAAAGAGCTGCCACTAAGGTGTTGGCAGAATGCCTTCAATCCTGAGGGTGTCGTGCTATTCCAAGGCACGTGGATGCAAGACAGATCCTCAGGAAGCCACCCACAAGATGCCAAGCTCATGGCTTGTCCTCATTGGTTAGGTATGCCTGTGCCTCAGGTGAACCTTCCATTCCCAGCATCTGGGAATCATTTGTCAGGCAGAAGACTTGGCCTTTGCAGCAAAGATTTCACTCCCGGAGGGGTGGAGCAGCAGAGCTTGATGAGGAAACAATGTGGAGCTGGGGGGGTTCGTTCTACCTGTGTATATAAATATATAGTTGCCACTTTGCTTGGACATTGACATGGATCCACTCCACTGTATTCCAGGGAACACCAAAACAAATATATGTATCAGCGACAGTGAATTGAATTGCATGTGAAGTGTAGAGTGGAGAATAATATAGAAGAATGTAATGACTTGCATTGAAGGAGATGCCACGAGTTGGACACGCTAGCGAAGACTGGGAGCCAAATGTAAAGGTTTGCTACTAAGGAGTTGCCTTCTAGGCGGACACACCAGCTCAGAGTGGGACACAATATTGCTTGACAAGAAGGCGGACACAAAGCCCAGACTGGCAAACGAATGCCAACAATTGCTACGGCACTTTCGGAGGCCACTTCAGGCGGACACAGTAGCCCAGGCAGGCGCATAGGCACATGTAAGCAGTTCCGTGCCTGTGCCTTCGCCCAGAAGGACTTCATTGTAGAAAAGAATCCCTTTTGCCCAGCTGCCAGCTGAAGTTCTGGACTGCGAGAACGCACGGGTGCTTACAGCTGAACCGTGTTCTTTCGGAGTTTCCTAAATTTGACCACCTGAGTGCCGGGCTGTATGTTTCACTATTTCACCTTGTTTCACCTTACCTCTGGCAAATTCCGTACATTCGCCTCCCAGTCTGAGCTAGTGTGCCCGTTTTTTACATGTCCTGAAGATTCATTCTCCTACTATTTCCTGGTTGTTTTCACTTTCCATGAGTTGCGGGGAAAAGTCCATGTTTCCAGCGTTTGGAAAGAAAACTCATACGAGCTCGACAAAAAACAGTCGTTTTCTTCAGAGCTGAAGAGTGCACAGATCAAGGTTCCTAATCAAGGTGAGAAGACCGCAGCTGCCCACCAAACTGGCGTCTAAACTGTGCAGCGTAAAGTCCAAGTGAACGTCTAAGCGTCATTATGGTAGCAGTCAGGCCATGTGTGGCTCTGGAAATCCTGCTGACACGACCTATAAAGTCTTCGTCTGACCAGCAAGCTGAAGTCAAAGGCGATAAGGTCTGACCATTTTCTTCTGTCGTGTGCAGAAGGTTTCCTATCTCCTCAAACATATGGACCTTAGGTCTCATATAGAAAAGCTTCAAATTTGCATTCTTTGCCATCCGGGCGAGCTGGCCATATCCAACCTGAGTAGTCTAGATGTGTTTTGTTCAGTAACATAAAATTTCACGGACACAAATTCACTCTAAATCAAGTCAGAAGGCACACACGTCCCTGAAAAGGATAATGGCACGATGCTTGGCACGTGCCGGGAGGAACACACCATTCTGATGAAGGATATCAAAGATGGCGTTGGCACAGCTGACGGTGTACCGCATGATCTGAATACTCTGACCATCAACATCCTGGGGATTGGATTTCACGCTCACTAGTGTTATATATATTGAATCCAATTAACATATATATGATAAGGCTGAGGTTCTGTTTGCTCCAAGGCATGCTGAAGCCACCTGCAAACTACTGCTGTGTCGTGTCCTTTTCCACCCAAAGACGTCGGGAAGTCGTTGGTCCTAACCACGGAAAAAGCCACATACACACATGCACAAATGAAATCATATGATAAGATCAATTGTAAAATTCTGGTAATACACAGCACACAAATTCAACATGCAACTTAGGTTCGTGTCCATCTTGAAGCTATCCCTGCTAAACACTTTGCAGCTTGTGTACTTCTTGTGCTGATGGACCCACTGGATAAAGAAGTCAAATGCAAGCTCCAACATATCGTCAAACTTCCGTGCATACCCGAAACATTGAAGTCTAGCCATCCAACAAATGCAGCTAGCCGCCATATCGGCACCAAATCCAAGGTGGAAGGTGTGAAAAATATCTGGCCTAATATTTCTGGGGTCTTCACCCCCAGCCAGATCCCGCAGCGGTGACCTTTCATCCTTGAAAGGAGCTGAGGATGGTTGCACCCTCCATGGTGCATCATCGCTGAAGTTCCACCACTCCTGGCATTTGCAAAAAACATCGAAAGGGTAAAGGGGGTGTTTGTGGTCCCTGCCTCACTGCTGCACAAATGACACTTTCGCAGCGATGTGAACCCTGTCTTCAGGCCCCATACCTGAAAGCCGCTAGTCAAAAGATACGGCTAAACCCTGTTGGGGCCTAAGAGCACAGAAGCAAGAAGAAAACAATGAAAAGATCACTTGCCTTCCGTAGGAATGGCCAATCTCCCTTGCATCCACACCATGAAAACCTGAAAGTATGGCCACCAGCCTGCAGGGAAGTTTCATAGGGTGATACCCAGCCCCACGTGGTCAGGCGGTCAAACATGCAAACAATCTCACAACAAACCCCGGTCCTGAACTCCCTCCTCAAATATCCCACGCATTTGCCGTGTCCATTCAACACTGATATCATGCAAGGTGTTCTCCCCACTGTAAAGCTTGGACGACACACATGTAAAGAACATTCGGCTGCAGAACGAATGGCCAGAAACAGTAGTACTGGCAGGACCAGTGAAAGGTATCAGGACCTGCCAACTCTCAACCATGAAAGGCTGCTGTCGGGCACCTCGTCCTTCATCGCCATGAATCAAATATGGGATCACTGTTGACCAATCCAGGTCTGAGTGCTGGTAGATGTCGTGGTTTGGGTCAAACTCCCGGTATGTTTGCCAAAACCCGGAGAAAAGAGTCTTCCATTGAGACTCCTCTGTCAAATCAAACCCACCCAACATGAATCGAGGGTATGTATTGAGCATCACCGATGCCCATGATTTCATTGAGAGGCACGGCCAATAGACTTGGACTTCCCTCACCCGAGGCCGCCTCACACGAATCCTCACCCTGCAAAGGTCCAGTTGAATGGGCAAAGACACTCCTCTTTTCAAGATACAGGTCTGCAAGTTCCGGGTCACATTTGTTTTTGACCGTCCAGCTTTAGCAATTTGACATAGAAGATCGCCTGCACCTAGGATCTTGAAGTAAACCAACAAAATGTCTACCTTGGCCACGTATCTTGGAATCTCAATCAAGGCACGCTGTCCCTGATGCATCCGCCTTGAAGCTGCTAGTGTTGCTACCCTGGATGTTCTCTTGGCAGATTCAGCCTGAGAACAGACATGATATGTATAGCATATACATATATAATAAAACACATATTTCATAAATTGTAGGTTTGCAACTGTTAATACAACCATGGCACTCCCCGGAAATAATCTTCCAGAATCTCTAGGGCGGCCTCATCATCTAGTTCTTGTTCACATTGTTCTAAAAGGCCATCTCCTCAACACAACAAGTGGGGCAGCACATTTCTCTCCCACCCCTTCCACCGTCTTCCCACCAACGATGAAGCGGCTGCGCGCTGTGACGCACCTGCTGATCGAACAACACTCAACCTGCTATAGCCTTTTTGCAAGTTTGCTGAACAAGCTGCAGCATGCTCTTGCAAGAAGGTCTTGAAAGAGTAGTTGAGATAAACTTTTTTTGTGCCGATGCCAATGCCTTCATCTATGATTCGCACAAGATAAACCCCAATTGTGCACATACCCTAAGGCACAGCTGGACAAACACCTAAATCAAAAGCACATCGCACACACGTGTCAACATAACACGCGTATTAGATTGAAGGGCCAAGGCATGGCTTACTTACCAGCCTTCCCTTTCGACTTTGCCTTGCCCTTTGGCTTAGGCTTTGAACTGGAAGACTTTTCAACCCTTGCCTTTTTGGACCGGGTGTTAGACTCATTTTCTGCAGGTTCGTTTTTTTCTTCAGTCTTTCTCTTGGGTGGTTGCGTTCGCTTCCCAGCCGCCGGCTTTGTCGGTGGCTTCAAAGCCCTGCCAAAGATATGGCAACATATCGTGCACATACATAAACAAGTTACCAGGAGAAGTTAATGAGCCTTGCACGGGATACAATGTTGTTGACCCCGACGTCAATCTTGGTGCATGACACGAACAAGTCCCGGAGCGTCTTCTTTTGTGCATCCTGAGTACAGTACCAAACCAACATGTTGCCAAATCCGTATATATAAGTTGAATGGTCACAGGTGACATGTGGAACAAATTTGCTTCCGTGCTTCAGATGGCGGTGCAGTCATATCACATGAGTCCGTCTGGAGTTTCTCCAACTTTTGGTAGTGATCCACGTAGTGGTTCTTCTTGATGTTCATCTCGTTCAAAACCCTTGGCACACACCACCAGCTATGCACATGTAGGGTGGTCATGAATGCACATTTCAGACCATCAATTGATGCCCCATGCATACTACTTGGAAGCGAGTTGCACTTTTGCACGTTCAGTATTGTGTTTCTCGAGCTTCTCCTGCCAGTGCACAAGTTCTCAGCAACTATCCATCAAGAGTTTAAAGGATTATATATAACATATTGCATTGAACATCACACACCCTGAACCAGCCTTCACCTCATCGATCTTATCAAGTTTTTTCCCCATTTGGTCAAGGAAGGAGCCAATGTAGCCTTAGCTTTACGCTTTGTACTGCTGCTACCTGTAGATCTCTTGACGATAGTGCCACTGCAACATCAAATGTGCCACACTGCAATAACATATATAGTGAGAATTGCAACTCAGAAACTGTAAGGGTCTTGATTCTGTTGAACCATAGGTAATCCATTCAACTTTGCTGATTGCGCACTCTGAGCTGCCATCATGTTCCCAGCACCCTCGCCCTCCCCGGTGTGCTGCCTTAATGGAATCGCGCTAAAAGTGCAAAAAGTACGCACAGAACATTCAGAATTCCAGCACCTGCATATCTTGTTTATTTTGTGTTAACCAAATGACTGTAAAGCAGATTCTGCAGTGATCTCACCAAAGTCCAGAATGGATCCATCAGGATCTTCAACGTCCATCTCAACCTTGCCAATCGATTCCTTGCACTTTGTTTCCTCCCAGGAGTACGTACTACTTGTAGGAATCTTGAACTCCTCAAGCTGGTGAATCTCATTCTTCCTGATCAAGCCACGAGATGTAGCCCAGGCACGTGCATTGCGAATCATTTCCCTAAGTAGAACAAGCGAGGCAGCCATATGCATGGCCTTTGGTATGAAAGACAAACTGAAGCCCTACAAACATTGCAAGAATATGCCAACCCAGGCACTCTGTCCAACCAAGTTGTGACAAGGTTACAGAGTTGTGCCACCCACCCTCAATCTTAGATTGTTCCTGCTGGCGATAGATCTGACGAACTGTGGCTTCAACAGCCGCAAAGGTACCCTGATCTCTGAGGGCCTGCGCCAACTTCGGTCCTGAAGCAAACCCGCATGTACCCTCTTCAAACAATATAGCGCACACATGCCTGTCCTTTAAATGTTGTGTCAGTCTTGCCTAGCAAAACAAAATGGTCACAAGCGCCTGCTCACTCATCTCACTGCCATTTCTTTAGATGTTGCCTAGACACGCTTTGTAGGATCCCGGTACAGCGCTTGTGCCTCCTTGCTCGCTGCGACATCGCCTTTCTTGTTCGGTGTGAAATAGCGACGAAGCCTGCAAGAATATTCTAGATAAGATCATGTGTGCAATGTCATTTCATTGGCTGATAGCATTCACACATATTCACACGTTTGCACAATGACATACATTAATCAAGAAACTTCCAATAAATTCCATCTTTGTACACGTTGTTCTTGTCAAATGCTGACTCAGAAAGCTTTTCTCCCTTAGTACCCTCAGATTCCATCTTGGTCGCTTCCCCACCCTTCGCTGCCAGTCGTGCAGCTTTGGCGGCATTCAAACATGCTGCCGTCCTTTCAGCAGCAGTAGATTTGTTGAGACTTGAAGACTTGTCGTTTGGCAAATCAACTCCCGGGTGTGCTTCAGGGGCGCCATAAGGAACAAGTTCCAGGGGTGCTTCAGGGGACGGTTTCAATCCATCTGCAGGTAGTTCAGGTGCAGCAGGTGAGGGTTCATCAACATGCCCAAAGGTCAAAGTACGAGCCAAAAGAAGGGGTGAACCTTCTGGGACACCAGCCTTAGCAGCTTCAGATGTGACACCTGTTGACGAACCATCAAGCATGTCTTGTTGTCTTAGCTTGGCAGACCTTGCCAACACCTTCTCAAGCTTTGCCTGCTCCCGCGCTTCAACCCTCCAGTGACTGTCATATTCAGTCTCACTCCCAGTGTTTGAAATGCTTCTATTGAGGGCAAGTGCCTTCTGCTGGTAGTCATAGCGAAGAGTCTCTGCGGAAGGTGACGGGGCCGGTGAAGCTACAGGCCTTCCATCAGCAACAGGTCGTCCACCAACAACAAACTCTCCAGCTGCGCTAGGAATCTGGAAGAGGTCACCTAGGCTTCAAAAACATATACATATATGCACGCTCCAGTTCCCCAGAATAGTTTGAACATCTTAAAGCAAAAGGAAATGTATCATCTAGTCACGTGCACCCTGGGCAGGTGAACCCCCACATTCATCCGCAAGTCCCTTTTGAATCCGTGCTACTGCAGCAGCTGCAGCCTAGGCAACGCATCAAAAACAAAGAAAAGACTACACTCATTGCACAAGTTCCTTGTTTAGAACAAATACCTCTGAAGCTAGTAGCTTTGATTTGCTGATCAATATCGAAGTCGTTGCCGGTAACCATTTGATCAGCCATTGCCGCAGCTCCTCCCTCTAATGAGGCAGCTGTGTGCAAAGATGTACAGCTAGACATGTACCACCTTCTTAAGTATAGGCAAAGCCAACAGGAACGTTTGAGCCCTGATGTCAAGAAAAAAACAATTCAGGTCCAACCTGTAAGACCACCTCACGAATGCAACATATACAGCGCGCTATACTACTGTTCAGCCTTTTGAAGACTTGCCCACCATGTTATGCAGGCACAGTGCACTGAATTTCATCTGAATTGGTAAGAAAAGGTGGCTTGCCACTGGTTTGGAGAACACATGAAACTCCGGAAATCCGTCTTTTTCCGATTTGCGGGCGTTTGCTACTTTTTGCGTGTGTTTGGCGGGTTTTTGCGGGTGTTTTGCGGCCAAAAACGGTCGAGATTTTTTGCTTAGGTCACCTAATTTCATTTAGATTGCTAAAGTGGCAGCCACCTTGCCAACAACAGAATTCTGACGAGACAGAGTCTCAAATGTCAAATTTCATCAGCTCTAGCCTTTAGCTAGATGAAATGCCAAAAGGGTCCACATCGACAGCTTTCACCTCAGCGAGTCAAAAATACACCAAACTTCAAGCTTCCAACTGCCAGAACTCACAAGACATATTTTCCAGTAGAACATTGTTTCAAACAAAGTCACAGCTTTGAGCTCATCCCGAAAGGATCGCATGGTGTTTTTCCACTCTCCAGGAATGTGGCGACATCTCATGGTATAAAGGTATTCAAAGACATCAGCTAGGGAAGCATCTGGCCATGTGTCTCTAATCTCTAGGTCATTGAACAAGCTCAGCTCTGAAGGGTAAGATGTGTAGTTCTTCTTCTGTCGCAAACAGCGCAAACAAGGATTCTCCTGGACCTCTGGAACAAGAGACAAAAGGCTCTTGCCAAATCCAACTGGATACTCCCTTAGCAAGACAAATTGGCCAGGCAAGACACAGGAGAGGCCTACAGTCCTGCAGTGTACAAACTCTAAGGAAAAAGCAATCTCAGTCTAGATGCTGTGAGTCTTTCAAAGAAGAGGATCCTGTAAATCCAGGAAGGCCACGTCCAGTTGTATACTTTCCTCAACTCTCAAAATGTCTAGTCTGTAGTATTTCCCACGTGTATATATATATATAATGATATAATATATATATATAGATGTCCAATTTAAAATCGCCACAACATGGCTTTCAAACAGCCAAGGCTCGTGTTGTTTGTCGTGTGTGCTTCTTGGCTTTCACCTTTTTGCGTAGTTTGCCCTTGTCCTATCATGTTTGTCACTAGGAAATGTCAACCCAAAATAAAATCCAACTCTCACAAGACTTAGCTATAGGCAGCTAGGTCCCTCACAAGCTTGGCAGCAGTAATTCGCCGATTTGTCCAAACTACCGTTCTCTTGGGACTGGAGGAACCATGGAGCATCATCCAAAAGGAATTCTTCCATACCTTGTGAGGCATCATGCAGGGGATACCACCAGCATTACCAGGATACTGAATGTATGCATACTAGCTAATATATATATATATATATAATGGCCCCCTAAATAGATAGAAACGGTTTCCAATACCTTTTGAAAGGGATGTTACTTTTCTATCTAGTTGGGTGTATATGCAAACATACATACATACATACATGCATGTACAGAAGTACACAGGCACATGTTACAGAAAGTGCAGCCCCAGTGCGTAACAAACTTGGTTGCACAGCCAGGCAAAACGAGGATGCCGAGGAAACACATCCTTCGACCCCTCCGGTTGCTCCACAATAAAGGTCGCATGAGTTGCCAGGCAGATCAATAGGATCAACGTAAGCCTGCAACTTATTTAGATGACATACCATACACCGTGGCATCACACACAACTTTAAATCGCTTTCTGACAAAGCAGAAAAGCAAAGTACTTAGCCTTGAAATCATAGCATTTGCTTCCGACACAAAGGCCAGTTCCAAAGCCCCAAAAGGATTCAAAAAATGAACGTTGCGATGTCCCGCGTGACACTATCGTCCAAGATGAGCACACAGGTGCCAGCAGATGAAGACATCCGGGAGCTCCTGCCATAGCCGCCAGAATTGCCAACCTAAGCAGCTAACAGGACTTGGTTTTATCCTGAGTGCATGGCCTATGAAACCTTTTAACCAGTTCTGTTCCCTTCCCCATTGCAAACAAAGAACGCAAATCCTGCACTTGAAAGGAAGTCCATTTGCTTTGGCCGATCCTTCTTCTCATAGCTGAATACTCGGTGTTTCTTGGTCATGCGAAAAACAGAACTCACATTTCCCTTTCCGAGAAGTACTCTACCATGGTGAAAGCCATTTGAGGATCATAGGACCATCTCAAAAGCAGCACCTCAGATGAGGAGCCAAAGGGAGTGCCTTCAATACAATAGCTACAGTAGATAGTGCAAGTCACATTAGGTTATAATAAGTTGTAAGGAGGAACGATCGCCAGGAGGACCTGAGAAGTGCAAGTGTGGGAACGGTCAACTTTGGAAAGTTCTTTCTTAAGAGGTATCAACTTCTTGGGGCCCCAGCTTTCGGTGCCCCGATTTCAGCAAGATTATAGATCAAGCTCTCTTCACGCAAGACCGGCATCAGGAACCAAGGCTCTAAACAAACGATTTCTACCCCTTGAGCTCACAGTTCAAACTCCCACAGGAAAAATGCTTAGTGCAAGAGCTATTGCTGTAGTAAGCAGCTGAAGAAAGCAACAACTGCAGTAGAGGGATGCTGCGCCTGCTGAAGCCATCCGGCACGCAAACCTTTCAAAGTCCATTGGCATCACGAATTGTACCTGGAGGTACAGTTATATGTATAATGCATCAGATCCACTCCAATGCACAGTACTTGGTTTCATGTTTTCTTTGATCATCTAAGCATGTACAAACATATGCATACAGTACATATATTATAAGTATTAATTGCTGAATATTGCTGACTTTTTTGGCTGCTTCGCTCTGCAATTACCAGGATCCAACCCAGCTTGCTTCCATGAAGCCTTCTTCCATACCCCATGGAAAGAAGCGCATGCGCGCAACGAACCCAAGAACAACATGTGGGCATATACAACATGATATGCATATAGTTTCTTCAGTTCAAGTTGCATGCAGCTCCACGGTCTATGCACGCCGGTAACTAACCCGATGAACACAAAGCCACAAAGCGTCTCACTTCGTTCGTCATCAAACACGGGCCCAAGTAATCAGCAAAATTGGCTCTACATCACTGGGTCTCGGCATAAGCCTTGGTTGGAATGAACACTAAATTTCTTTCACATGATGACATCAACCTTCCCCCCTGGTCAAAGTGACAAATACAAAATGAAATTTAGAAACTGCATTAGAACTATTCTTCCACCCCCCACAAAAATGTGCTAGGCCTTACTAAGGAACCTTCTGTGCTGCAAGCTTTGCCTCATCCGGGGTGTGGCCTAGCTTCAGCATCCTGGTTTTTTCTCGGTGGTATGCTGCAGACTTCCGTGAATAGCGGGCTTTTTTCTCAGCAGCCTTCTGATCAGCAGCATCATCAGGCTTCGTTTTGTCACTGCTGTTTTCCTCACCCTTCTTGGCCTTCTTGGAGCCAGCAGATGCCTTCCTTTTGGGGGAGGCTTTCTTTTCCTTCTTGTTCTCGCTACACTTCTTGCTTTTCTTGCCTTTCTTTGGCGAAGAAGGTGTCTCCTTCTGTGTCTTGTCCTTCTTGCCATTCTTTGGTTCATCCTTCTTTGCCTTGCATTGCCTTGCCTTTCTTTTCGTGCTGCCAGAAGCATTTTCCGCAGCTGCATCCGATTGTTTTGGTTTCCTTCCCCGTTTCTTGGGGGGGAACCTGTTCCTCCGGGCTGATAAAGGATGTGTTCCCAAAGCTTGGAGGTTTATCAAGCTTTTCCTGGGGAACCTCTTTCTCTGGGTGA